CAGAGCTCAGTGCTGGGGCTGTGGGGCCTGAGGAGGACACTGCCTTCCCTCAGAGCTCAGTGCTGGGGCTGTGCTGCTTGGGGAGGGCACTGCCTCTCCTCAGATCCCTCAGAGCTCAGTGCTTGAGCTGTGCTGCCTGGGGAGGGCACTGCCTTCCCTCACAGGGCAACTTCCTTAGTTAGGGAGCTCTGTAAACCAGCCTGTCTCCTCAAATTCATGGGCCAGTAGGAACTATCCCTATAAACCAGCTGTGCTCCAGCTGTCTGCCTGCCTGTGCACAGGCTGGGCCCTCCCTTCAGGTGGGACAGCAGCTAACATGCTTGGCCCCTGACATATCATGTCTTGGCTTCTTCCTGGTGCCTCTTTCATGTTCAGTTTTGCTTTTAGTGAAACACATTCAGAAACTGGTCAGTTCTGCCAATAGCAATACCTTGAAACAAAGATTCTGGAGTGACAAGGTTATGGCAACAACAGCTGGAAAAGTTTTGTTAGGAAATGTGAGAGCATCCACTGAGCACTTGAAAAGCTGTTTTCTGGTCTCCTGCCTCTGTCTCAGAATGTTCTGACCTGTCTTTTGGAAAGTAAAACTTAATTGCCCAAATAAACATTCTGCTGTCTACACAGAGATTCTGGTTAGATTTAAAAGCCTGGGCTGTTGGCTCTGTGCACTAGAGGAAGGAGCTACTTCTGCTCCTGTGGTTCTTTAGACTGCCTCAGAACTGCAGCTGTCTCTGTGGGGTTTAATTCTGCCCAGTTGTTTCAGTTAGGTACCAAGGTACTTTACATGGGACTTGAGTGAGCGTGGGCTGAGGTATTTGTTTAGCTTGTGGTGCTTACCAGTTGCTGGAGCAGAGTCAGCTGGAGGAGGAGAGCAGCACTCCCCAGGGAGCAGCACTGCTGCCCTCATCTCCCTGTCAGCCCCTGGGTAACCCCTGTGGGTGAACTGTCCCCTCCCTGCAGGTACGGCCTGTCTGGCAGTGACGTCCTGGACAACGTGGCCTATGCCCGAGGCTTCAACACAGACCACCAGACCCAGCTGCTGTACCAGGCCTCTGCTATGATGGCAGAGTCACGGTGAGAAGGGGAGGGGGCTGTGCCAGCAGGTCTCACACACAGCTGCCTGCAGGTGACAGGGCAGTGCAAGAGAACCATTGTGTCACTGTGAAACGTCGAGGTCTGCTTCAGAAGCTGTGGGGTTTTGCACTCTCCTTGCTTTCTTAGTCCTGAGCTCTGTTAGATGAGGTTTTGTTAATCGCAGCCAGGTTCTGCTCTGGCACACCCAGCTGATAGCTGGGGCATCAGCAGGGTTGGTGACAGCGACGGCCTCGAGCTGTGGCAGCTGGTGTCTAAGGACAGGCACCAGCCTGGGCAGGAATTTGGAGGGTCAGGTCATGATTGCCTTCAGAAATACGAGTGCTGGTTTAGAGCATGCTGAGCACCGACAAACCAAAGCTGTCTGCACAGGTTTTGAACTCGGGGGTGGCAGGAGGTGTGTGGGCAGCTGTCCA